GACAATGCGGCAGGCAAAGGCGAGTTCCCGTCTTTCAAATGCGGACGTCTTTGTCGTCCCTTCAAGCAGCAGCGGTGCCTGATGACCTCGGTGATTCATCTGGCGACGGGGAAGCTGTTGTGACCGGCGCCAGAGCTGACAGCAGAGCGGCGCTCCTTTTAATCCCCAATCAAGTAGACGACCGGCCGGCTGCCTATGCTCGTCAGGCATTGTCCGTGCTATCCGCAGGATGAGACGTCGTGTCGCCAAGACGCCGTTAACCGTTCAAGAGAGGCCAACAAAGACAGCATCTTCCTGGAAGAGACCGCGGCGGCCACCGCCAATCACCCCGCTAATTAGGCGAGCTGTGCGGCAGACCCTTTGATGTACGCTGTCAGAATCGTGGGAACTCTCGACTAGTGGCACACACACGACGAGGAAGAGCCCTGCTGGCGCCACCTTGCAGTGCAGTGTTCACGACTCAGTATTGGACGTTCACGTGGACCGTGTATGCTCGTGCCCCTCACCTGTTGTTTGTGTGTGATTGGTGTTCCACTCGGAGAGGAGGAGCCCGACAAGGCCCGACAAGGCCGCAGAGTGTTGGACGTCGCTCTGAACCATGTAACGGTTCAACCACCACGCTCGTGGGTTGTGAAACCCCTAACCTTTTTTTGCTGTAAATAAGTGTAAATAGTGCCATAAACCAGTTTGTTTTTCGTATCCTCTTCTTGTCAGCGTTCGTTTCCTCCACCCGTTTACACCACGCTACCACAAGAGACCGGGTAGTCCCCCATCCCTTACAGCACACGGGCCTACAACATTTCCGCCTCCATCGGAAATGCAGACGCCGCAGCCGGGATTTGAACCCACGACCTGCGGGTCAGCAGCTGAGTACCTTAGCCACTAGACCACCACGGCGGGGCTATTTATGGGGCTTTCAGCCTACTATGAGACATGGCAGCTGTCTTTTGAAAATTAATACTCATATTCCAATTTTCACACCGCCTACAAAAACCGGAGAATAAAGCACTGACTGTGAGATGATCTTAAGGTGAAATAATTACGAGATACAGAACACAATCATCAGCGTAAAGATAAATTTCAGTGGAAACCACGCCTGGTAGCTCGTCAATGTATACAACCGGAAAAGTAAGGGCCCTGGCACGGATCCCTGGGGCACTGTGGAAGATATTTGTGTTTCGGACAAATACAAAGTGTTCAAAGATACAAATTGTTGACGATTTTAAAGAAAACTACTTATCCAATAAACGAGCAGCTGAATAGTTAGCAAAACATTGAGCTTATACAGTAGTTTTGAATGAATGAGAGTGTCAAATGCTTTAGAAAACTCAGGGAATAATGCGTTCGCATGATCGACTAAGTCAAGAGCTAAATATATGTCATGTGCGAAGTCTGCCAGCTAAGTCCCGGTACTGAATGCGCCGGAAACCATGTTGTGTACTGGCGAGGATGCTGTTAGAATTCAGAAAATAGATGTGTTTAAAATATGTTTTTGGACTTTGCAGGAGTGAGGGGTTAGTGATACAGGCTAAATGTAAAGGTTTCCGCCCTCTGAAACAGAATTTTTTTGTCAGGATGCAGTATATATAACATGTAAAAAAATGTAAAGGTTTCCGCTCAGGCATGTAGGCAGAATTTTTTGCTGAGGAAAGATACTTCCGTGACTTGAAGGGGGGGGGGGGTATACCTCCTTGAAGTGGTACTTTTTCGCTTTCTATGCCACGGCGAAAAAAATTGAGGGGAGGGGGGTACGGGGCTGGTGTTCCATCCTGTGGCTGCCCGCACTCTTGAACAGCATTTTTACGACAACAGTACACCCACTACATGTGTGTAAGACAATGCATGTACCAATGCATGTGCACTTTGTAATGGGCGGCTTGGTTTAAACTAGCAGCAGGTACACGCTTGATACTCTATCGTAGTTGCGATGCATCCACTACGTGCGCTTAACAGAACATGCGCAGTAATGTTATGTGTGTGCATCATTGTTGGCCGGCTTTAAACCACCAATTCATTACACGATTCACGCGATCTGACGCCCGATGACAGTGTATACGCTTGCACCACTGTTCAGCCTACTGTGATTCTACATCCCGTGCTTTGACGCACGTTCACAGGACGTGTTTGTTTGTAAAGCCTAATCTTCAGTGCAGTTCCAACCATTGGCAAGGCTCTGTTGTGGAACACCTGGTTGCCACAGCGATGATCTGGGTTATATTGCACCTAGAATGCACTGTTTCTTATTATTTGCGCCAATGGAGATTTTTATGTCACGAACAATGGTATTTTTTCGCTCACAGCAAACGATGTCGACACAGACACCGGAATCTCCAGGGCATGGTCTCGACAACCCAATTGCGTCAACATTGCGCTTCGACACTAGCTAGAATCAGTCAGTCGGTCAGCGAAATTATGTGGAATTAACTGAATATGGAAATGACTGTATTCTGGTCGGCTTTCACCAGGATAACTTGGATGTTAATCAGCGTACCATACTTCAGTTGTCAACGAAAGGTAATATAGAACTACACTAGCTAGTGTGGTCCGAAGGAAATTAGTTGAAAAAAATAGCGGCTGTCCGTGGGCTTATGAATTATTTTATATATACCGCAAAACTTAACGTGGTTACTTTTAATGCGATAGCGTTAACGAATTTGTTTAGCAGAAATCCGGTGCCGGCGTCAGCGTTGTTGGTTGTGAGCAAAAAAAAAAATTTCTCCGTGACCAACAAATCGAGAAAGATGCAACGTAAATAGTTTATAGAAAATATGCAGGTCTGAGTGGCGATAGAAATTAGGCCGTCTACGTGGGAAGGTGGAGGTGTTCTACCACAGCGCCACGCTATTTCGTGACACTTCTTTGAAAAAAAAACAAAAAAAACTATATCAATGCTGTACAGTCGACGGAGTCTCCTTAATGCAAGCAATATGGAAGCATAGTACCACGTCATGCGTCAAACCCTTTGTATTTCTTGACGAGTGGGTGTCTTAAAGGCCAGTTCTTTGAAAAGTATTCGACATATTCAATGATCATCAGCAAACACATCATCAAAGTGTAGGGCTCTCTAGGTGCACTTCTTGCCTTACGGACGCATGTGGGCCCCCATTGATTCGCTAAAGAAAGAATCATAGGGCAGTGGACCCCTTAATAACTGTGACTTCCAGTATGGATTCTAGGAATGCTCTAAAATGCAAATGTCACGTGCAAAGACGTTCGCTTACTTGCGGCATGGTTGATGCATGCACTAAACAACCAAATGCGGGCTAGCGATTGAGAAAGCGATGTGCACGAGGTCCGATAACGCTGCATGGCGCGTTCCACTCTTGAAGGCGAAGAAGAAAAAGTGGGAGGCTCGCAGCGAGTATGTGGTTTTCTCTTGCTGTGACGTTTCTCCAGAAATAGGGAAAAACAAAAATTTAGAAATTTTAGTCAGAAAATTAAGCGTTACATTTTTCTCTTGGGGCTTCTTTGCGCCACAACAACAGGAAAGTGTGCATAGCACTCTGTGAATTCCTAAGAGACACGAGATTTTTTCGTTAGGTTATCCCATATGGAAATCTAGTTCTTTGACATCCAGTTATTATTTTTATTACAGTTCTGCATCTACCTTAATCATACGTCACTTTAGCATTTTTAAATTTTATATTCCGTAGATATCTGTTTTATTTGTTTTCCTCAGTCGAATATGAAATGATTTGATCCTCGATACAATAACTGCCGGTTTAATGAAGAATCCCCTGTAGTGGGTACGAGCCAAACAGTAACAAGCAAGCAAACAAGCAAGCAAGTGTTGCTATAGAAGCAATGCGTAAAATATTGAGATCATTCACCTTGTACTCAGACAATCCCCTCTATATGGTACGAGCCATGTTCAGAGGAAAACAACAACTTCTCTTACTCTCACATTTGGTCACTATAAGGTATTAATAACAGAGTTTAGCAGAGTTTAAGTGTATAGTCTGAACTTGGACGTATAATGAACAAAACACCTATCTATAAAAAAGTGACTATGTCAGCGGTATATAAGGAAAAAGTATCAGTTGGTTTGTTTGTAAAACTGAAAAATTGAAGTTAAGGTTTGCAATGCCGACTGTTAAACCGAGATGCTTGACGTAAAGCTTCACAGAATGATATCTGACGCATGCCTCTCGGCTTTTGATCACTCGATCGGCGTCTGATATTTCCCGGGTTAGCTGGATCATACATTTAAGAAGACTGCCCTTTTGAATAACAGGGAATGCCACTTACTGTGTACAATGCGCAGCCACCTGCGGCCCGCAATATAATTTAAATAGAGGTTGTTCTCTTGAGTTCATGTTATGGAGTGACCCGAGTTGCCAACATTGCCACTGCTAAATAGAATAATGTAAATGGTGACGTAAGTCCATTCGACAAACTTTGTGCCACAATTTTAGGTTTAATAAGAGTGTTTGCTGCTAATGCGTGATAAAATACGATCACGCCTATTTTGCTCTTCACCACTTTTTTGTTGTGGGTGGTCGCCACTGTACAGGTATCATCGTGATCATGAACAAGCAGTGGTGGTGTCAGACGAGACGGATTCGTTCAAGCCCAGTCTCGGCGAAATGAGCGACGACCAGAGAGATGAGTACATAGCCTTAACTAGCTATCTGCATCAAGGCGACTTGCTGTACGATGACAGCTCATCGGAGAGCTGGGTGAGTGATGAAACGACCCCGCAGACATCGGAGTACAGTGACGCGACTGACACGGACGATGACGAAAGGCAGTGCGAGATGCTAGATTCCGTGGGCACGGCCGCGGAGACCACAATTGACAGATTAGTAGAATGTGTAGACTCGTTCCTCGCGTCCGAAGATGAAGAATCCGAAGAGGATGACGCGCTGGAAGAAAACGTCGTCGAGGATCGCCCCAGGAAACGAGAAACGTTGCGAAAGGGTTGCCGCGTTATCTTCGGGGACTAATGGGTGAGGCGAACATGTGCTTCGCTCGAGGCCGTTACGAAGGACGCTGTCAAGATGTGCCTCGAGATTGTCCGGCTTGCGCCCACTTCGCCGCTTCCCTTCCAGACACTCGCCATGATCTACGAGGAGCTACGAGATCCGAATCGATCGTTGCAGTTCGGCTTGATCGCGGCCTACTTGGGTACGCAGGACGCCTCCGAGTGGAGCCGGTTGGCGCAGCTTTGCCTGGAGCAGGGTCTCGTCCGTAAAGCGGCTTTGTGTCTGATTAGGGCTCTTAGGGTTGATCCGCACGACTTGGAAATGCGGCGCTTACTGTGTGCGCTGTACGAGCAGCTGGGTGACGAACATCGAGCGCTGGTTTCATGCGCAGCCCTCGCACGTCGAATAGAGGAACCTGACGAATGCCTGCTGCTGTCTCGACGCCTTGTGGATGTCTTCCGCAGTCGTCAAAACCTGCCTTCGGCTGTGCGAGTTCTTCTGGATGCCGCCACTAAGTTTCCCGCGCACATCACAGCTGAAGACATCCACACGCTGCTGGAGATGCAACTGATGCTGAAAATGCATTCAGCTGCCCTGCTAGTGCTTCACAATCATTGCGGAGTTCAGCTGCTGCCGCTGCAGGAGGGGCATAAAGTAATAACTACAAAACTACTTGAAGACTCTCTCGACGTCTTTGAGAGATGCCTGGTGCCTGCTGAGCTTTGCATTGATATAAAGACGAAGCTTGTGGTTTGTCTAATACACCTGGGGGCCCGGCATCTCGTTATGGATCTTGTGAGAGAAATGAAGCGTGAGCTGGACCCCGAAAAGTCTGGCGATTTTTTGCTGAATGTGGCTGAAGCCTTCATGGAAGCGGAATTCGAGAACGATGCACTACCGCTGCTGCGCATGCTTGTGCGCACTTGCAACTGTGGGACGGCGGCCGTTTGGCTCCTATACGCGGAATGTCTGAAGCGACTCGGCCGCCACCAAGAGGCGACAAAGGCGTACGAACGCACGTGCGAGCTGGCACCACGCCACGCACCGTCCCGCCTCTCCCTGGGCCAGCTGTTGGACGCGCAGGGGCTTCGGGACCAGGCCATCGACTGTCTCGCCACCGATTCCCGACAGCTGCAGGACACCAAGGACAGCACGCCAGAGCAGCAGCAGGATTCGGCGTCCGTGCTGCTTTGTCAGGCGCGGCTATTGTGGGATTCCGGACAGCGCGAGGCTTTTATTGAGTCGGCCATGACGCTGGTGCGGGCACACTGTTTGTCTGTCTGTTCGGCAGAAGAATACGATGCGGTGTACTCAAATACGTATCACTTGAGTCGCATGAAGGTACTACGTGAACTGCATGAGAAACGCGGCTTCACACCGGGCTGGCTCACAATGGAGAGTGGTGTGTCTGTCGACGATCTGCAGGCATGCTTCCTCGAGCTCTACCGAGCACTGCAAGAGACCGGCCGCATGGACGACCTGAGGCAAGTCGCGACGGAAGTTCTCGTCGCGCCCATGTTCAATAAAGACGCAACGAGCACTGAGGAGCTGGAGTTCTTGAGCTTTCTAGCCCATTACCAGGACCCGGACCACGTAGAGCACAGCTTTGCCATCATCCGTGCCATGGTGCTCAAGTATCCGAACCAAGTACGTGCGTGGAATTTGCTGGGTCTCGTGGCCAACCAAATACCGGCGTGGCGTAAGAAGGGATTCTACCTCCGGCTATTATACAAGCACGAGAATAGCCTGCCACTCGGTGTGCTCGTCGCTCACAACGCTTTTCTCTGTGCGAACTACAAGCACGCTCTGGCAGAGTACACGCAACTTCTTCGCCATGTCGGAAAGGAGGAGCCAATTCTGCTGCTGTGCTCAGGCATAAGCCTAATGCGTATGGCGGGACAACAGTTGACACTAAACCAAAATTGTCCAGGGAGCCAAAAGTCTGCAGGGGTTCAGAAGTCTCCAAGGAAGTTTTACTGGCTGGCCACTCAAGGGATGACCTTCTTGTGCCGCTATTTGCGTGCTCGAGGCAGTGATTGTCAGGAGGCCTCTTTTTAACGTAGGCCGCGCTCTTCACGAGCTGGGCTACCCGCACATGGCTGTCAACATGTATCAACGGGCACTCGCCGCACCACCGGCTGTGCAGGAGATGCCAGAGGTGTTTGACCTGCGACGGGAGATAGCTTTCAACCTCAGCCTGTTGTACCAGCGCGGAGGTAACAACGAATTGGCCGATTGGTGCATCAACCACTACTGCGTCATTTGAATAGGAGATCGTTGTAATTGGTTCAATTTTCAAATTTTGTGCAGTCTCCACGTATTCACATTCCGTAATCGTTATCAAAGTGCACTATTACCGTTGGTCATGGTTTGAGTCTGCCAACTCACGCAGAAGCAGGACAGGCGAACTCTCAGTCGCTGTTAAGAGTACGCCTTTCGCAGCTTCGGTTCAGATGCTTTTGCCGAAGTGCTCATTCTCAAAATGAGCTTCGGCCAACTTTCAGTGCGTAGGTTTCTGTTTCGTGGATCAAGCAATTTGTTCAATTTAGAGATACGTATATTCACGGCAAATGAAACAAATCACTTTCGCGTTCAGTAAACCGCAGAATATGCACGGAATGTCTTGCTTATGCTTCCGAAACTTCATTTTACGTATCTTGGTCTCAAGCTTTGACGCTAAATGCGTTGTGTCTTCCTTCGAGTGGTGAAGCTTGACAAATGTGTTATGCCTCTGACGTGATCCTATTGGCGTCTCTTTATAAGGAATAAGTTATAATTTGCATATTGTTTATTACACCAATCACGCATGAGGTGCAATATTACGTCGTGATAACAGAGCTGAATGGCCGATTTTGTCAGTGCCTTTGAATTATGTAGATGAATAATGATAGTGATTTGCTGTTTTTTCGTTTGGCCTGTATTCTTCACTTGAGATGCGAAATCCTATGAACAGGACAATAGCAGTGGGGGGGGGGGGGGGGTTGGATGAAATAAAGGCAGAATTAGAGACGTCATTGTTGCCGCAAGCTGTTATCGCTTTTTTTTTCATCTTCAGTTCTTTTCAAACACATGTACGCGTGCTCACGTAAAGAAGGCGTGCTCATTTAAGACTCTGCAGCTCACGTTTGTTGTTCATCTGTGAACGCGTGGAATTGAAATGCTATAGAAATGAGAGTGAAATGTCTCATGATATCCGAGACAGCCTACGCCAAGCGGCTGCATGTGATTTCTCGCCGTCTTTTTCGATTCGTGTGGAAACATCTCGCGCACATTCGAGTTCGCTTCAAACAGCTTATGATAACTTAAAAAAAAGCAAAAGCGTTGACTTTTCGGGTACAACCTCTTGAGTATCTTGAATTAGTTATATTTGTAACCCTATAGATGTTATGTAAAATTTTGAGAGTATGTATCACAATGTTTTTATTCTTTGTAAGTTTACTCCTGTGAAAATCCCTGCTGGAATTGATGGTATCCCTAAATAAATAAATAATATAAAATAAAATAAATATTGGGTATACTTCTTATTGGTTTGACTGGACCTAAGAGAAGAAAACGAACGCTGTCGATTGCTTCTTTGCGTCAAACGAGTGCTGGAATGGGATTGCCCTGGCCTACAGATGGTCTTCACGCACCTACCAAAGCGGTAGATGTGTTAGTACATTCTTTGTGCATGCTCGGAACAGGATGTGTGTGATCCACTGAAGGTGGATTCCACACAATCCATGTACCACCAAGGGTGGGTGGTACGTTTTAAAAACGAAGCTCCTTAGGGTGTGGGTTGTTCTCTCGCAGTATGTTGTAGCAGTCTAGTCAGTTTCAAGAATTGCTCATTAGATGGCGTTGTGTATACGTCTTTGGAAATAATATCGCTTGATGGCGTTAGTGGTTTTCGTATAGTTGACAATTAAAGAGGACAGATGGTGCGTATATACCAGACAGACATACAAACGTTAAAACATGCGAGTCGCGCCAAGAGTGGTTGGTTTAAATGTCCACCACTCACAGTGTGCACAGGTATAATTAATGATCATTATCTGCAACAGCATCAATAACGTGAGTAACGGAGCAGGTTCAGGTGTTGCTTTGCGTAATGGGTACTTCGTATATTGGCAAAAGGTAGAATTATGTCATAGTGGGCACTTCGCAACTGTACTAGTCGTAGGAATTCTAGGATGGTATGAAATAGCCACTTTGCACCCTCAAATATGTTTTTTTTTGCTTGAAGCAAGGTTGAGGGGTCCACTAAAAAAGGCTATGCGAATGAGCCCCGATTACGCTGTCGCGTTGTACTCTTGAAAGCGAAGCGTTGACTTCCATCGTCCATGCTTTTGAGAACTTATGGGCTGATTGTCCGGACGTCTCGTTTTAATTGCGATGATAACGGCGCTAGCATTTGACTCAGGGTCACCTGAAACCACCGAGAACGGGAGCTCATGACTTTTCGCACTGGAAAAAGAAAATACAGCTGAACCGAACAAATAAAACAACAACAACCAAAGGACAGGTGGGTTTAATAATTATTTAATTATTTATTTTGCCTGGCTCAGCTGTTCTTTTTCTCAAGGTCTGATGTATACCTATACCACTTCGTTATGGCTTGACGTAAAAAAATGCCACCGAGGCGTGAAATATTGAATGCGTTACAGAACATGAGCTGCACCGAATATTGTGCTGCTTTGTCGAAGCTTCCCAATGTGTAAGTTATGAGCATAGTATGGACGTGAGGACATCAATGAAGTTGACATGCACCAGTTGTGTACAGCGGCCCTGGATTGCACCCGTTCGGGCAAGAGCGCCACCTCGCGGCACTCAAGTGCACTTATGCGTAGCATCTTCCAGAGCCGCAGCGTGCCGACGACCAAGACGTCGAGGACTTGGAAAATGACCAGGAACGACAGGGCGAGGTACATGCCGATGAAGCCGCCCAGGTTTCTTAGCACGTTGGTTTCCTGCACGCAGTTGTAAAAACACTCGTGAAGCTCCAAAGCTGGTGTTAAGATGGACACTATAAAGTTTCACAACCTCGATAGAATCACACCAGGTGGTTAATAGAAAAAAAATGGGTAAAGCCGTAGGAAGAACGAGGCACAGACGTGACCTAAAGTAAGTCATGGTGCCACACAACCCTCGTAGTTTACGCAGTATAGGACAGGCTAATGGGCTACGATGAGACAAATGAGGCTTTTTGTCTGGCCCGATGGTGTTTCACTGTGCCCAACAACAATTTATGAGAACCCAAGCTGTCACTTGGTGGCAGCTAATGACCGATACTTATCTAAATCCGCTCGCATATTGTCACGGGTCATGACGTGGACGAAAAGAGCCGAACTTGAGGTCACGTAAAAGGAAAGTCAGATTACAGCAAGACACTGGCACTGATAGCGGCGAGCAAAGCGTCGGCCGTTACAAGCGGTGCAAAGCGGCGCTATTTAGACACGTGCCGTCGAATATTCTAGCGTTATCGCTAGCAGCCACGTAAATTTCTGAATAATCTCTAATATTCGCAAAGTGGGCGTAGTCTTAAAAAAAAAACAATCTACTACAGCGTCGAAGCTCCTCGAAGATCGTCGGCGTGGTTTGCGCTGAACATAGTGTAACGGGGCGATAATAAAACTTGAGGAAATGAACGTGGCAATATCATGAATTCTACCCTAAGATCTGATTGATTTGTGGGGTTTAACGTCCCAAAACCATGATATGATTATGAGAGACGCTGTAGTGGAGGGCTCCGGAAATTTCTACCAACTGGGGTTATTCAACGTGCACCCAAATCTGACCAAAATGGCCAGCCGATAAGAGGGAGGGTGATGGGATGCGAGGACGGCTGCGCAAGGCGCGATGGTGTTCTACTTCATCCGCGAGTGCTGCAAAGCAGTAGTCACGCTGGTTTGGGGCGTCCCCTAAGGAGAGTGGATTTTGGTCATCCGGTGTGCGTCAGTGCCGTGTCATGCCGATCCGGCAGGTAGGCTGGGATCCTTTTGAATCGTGAATGAAAAACGGTTCTTGTTCGCAGCGTTACTGGCACGTGTCCTACGAATTCCTGCTCACTGATCCCCCATAGGGTTAGGCGGTTCCTTCGAACTTACTATAAAATGAATGACATATTTGAAATCAGCATACCAGCCTATATACACAGCCAAAATTTTGTTGCCCCAGGCTACAAATAAGTCCGTCTTTTTTTGTTATTGAATCGCTCGTCCCCTTAAGAGCGACCAGATTTAGAAAATATTTGGTTCATGAGCTACGTAGTGCTACTTCTTCCCCTGCGTAGAAGGATGGCAGTGAGCACTAGCCTCACTTGTACATCATTGCGTTTCGATGCGACTACAATCATTCATTCACCCATACGACCTTTCGTATATTCTGCTATTATATTGAGTTCGGGATCTTTTTACGGTGTGTGTGATGGGTGGACTGTCTACATAATGGCAGCTACACATCGGGCAGTCGGAGTTTCACTACGCACCGAGTTCAAAATTGCCCCTTAGGGGGCACGTGCCACATACCTGGCAAAGCCCGGGCATGAGGGACAACAAGATGCCGCTAGCGTCAAGCGGAGCACCACTTATTCATCCCACTCGACCTAATGTTGCTGCAGGAACAGCAACGATAGCAACGTCCCATACAGAAAACAGCGAGGCCTCGCATTGTAAGAAGAGGCACACAGAGGAGGGAGAAGAGGTTGACAGCTATGACGCCGCATTGACATACTTCATTAATGACATGGCACAGATGGATACAGAAGCACCAAAGGAAAACGAGGGAGCTTACACGGTGGTCAGCCATCACAGGAACCGAGCTTCGGGGATGCCGGCGGTGTTCAGACTAATTGCACCCGAGGACTCCTTCGGGAAAGTGCAGCCGAATCGCATGGCATCTGAGATAATCTCTGCTATCAATGAGAAAGTGATATCATCAAGAATGAACAGATACGAAAGTTTTGTGCTGGAGTACGGTCTTTGTACTCGGCCAAAAAGTAGCTGCTGATCAAGAGTCTGGCTGGCTTGCCTGTACATGTGATGATACCCCAGTCTTACATGAAGAACCTAGCAAAGATTAGAGATGTTCCACTTAAATGCAGTGATTATGACCTACTGGCGTATCCTAAGGAGCTTCGCCCCTAAGAACGCCAGGCCTGCGCGGAACGCAGCACAGTCACAGCAGAAGCTAGAAAAGCAACCTTTCCGAGCCATTAGTCTAAACATTCTTTGGGTAAATGCTAGAAGCACACTTGATTGGTACCTACTCCGCCATAAATAATTATAA